ATACTTCCCCAGTCTGTTTAACATATTTTGTGTTCAGTCAATCAAACTGTATACAATTCCAAATTAAAGTTTATGGCATTACTGCAAATGAAAATGTACAACATAAATCAAATAAGACACACATACGCCTGCTGCCACTTCTTACTGACCCAAAAAACACAAGATAAAACTGGTAAGATTAAAAACAATCAATCACTGAGTGTGGGATCATTTCTTTGAGGAGTAGGCGTTTGTGGCATGTTTACCCTTGATGGTGGCATTGGGAGTGGTGACTTTGGCCCAAGCCTCTTTTGTGGTGGTGTTTTCTTGCCTGTGTTTACTGTTGTTTCGGTGGAGTCTTTTGTTGTCTGCTGGTTCTCCGCGCCCTTAGTGGTGTTCGGAGTTCGAATCCAGTTCTGTCACCGCTACCGTTGTGCGTACAGTTGATGCGTCTCGTAATTACTGCATGTCCGGCCCTTCGTGCCCCGAGTTAGTCTGCGCCATTTGTAACCGTTCCTCTTCTTCTCTTCGGGTTTATTTGTTAGCCTTGATTCTGCTCTTGGGTAAACGAGACACGAGACTCTTATGCTGGGTTTAATTTAACCGTTGGTCCAAGTTCGTCCTCGAATTGTTCCATTATAAAATATTATTCGGTTATCACGGATGCATACGTGTATTCGCTTAACTCTGTTCGCAAACAAATTTGCATCATCCGTCAGTATCGTGCAGAGAAATTAAATTAACAATCACCTGCAATAAAGACCTAAATACACAGCTGAGGCGATCTTAATTGAGAACTCACAACTCTTAATGTAATGTTAGAAGATTATGTTTCCATGGCATGACATATTGTGTACTCTTTATTAGATAACACACTTACTGAAATGTGACCATTTACTGCAAATTTTGATATAAACACAAGTCTACATTAAATGAAATTTGCAGTCAGTAACGTATGCGAAATAGCCAAGATTGCAATTGGAACATAAATGTTCTCCAGTATGTTATGCAGTATTGTTGGCTTTGCTACACATTCTGGCGTATTTACATTGCAAAGTAGAAAGTTTGTGCAGTCTGTCATGGAGAAGGTTTATCACATTAATCTCTTTTCAGCCCCAGGAGCAGGAAAGACCTACTTAGCGGAGGCAATTCCTACAGACGCTGTTCCTACATTCTCGACGTAACTCAGCTTTGTCGATGTATATAGGTATCTTTGCCCTAACAGATTAGCATTATCTGAACTTTCAAAAATGGCGGTCTGACCCAACTGGCCAATCAGTTAATAGTAGCTGCGTGCACAGAGCCCCATTGTGACTGCTGCTGCCAGATGTGAATACGAGAGTGTCGCCTGTGGTGTTCCAATGCGTCTAGCTTAGACCGAGTATGCCAATGCCGTAATCATTCACTTCTTGCTCCAGCAATGGAAGCTTTCCAGGTTTATAACCGTCCTTGGTTAATTGTTTGCCTGCGAACAAACGGTGAAGCATCATAATCAGGGTTGACAATCCAAGGTCGCAAACCCGACCCACGTTACATTTTTTATCTCATTTTTTTTTTATTACGCCTTCTTAACCCTTCTTGGCATCTGCAGCTCTTTATTGTTGCTGTGCTTGATCGAAGCACTCTTTGGCTTTCTGGAGGAGATATATAGCCATATCATAACTGTTGTTCTCTGTGGCTGTGAATGCTTCGTTCAACAGTCTTTCTCCTTTCTGCCCTGGATCTTCTGCCATTTCATGATGTTCATTCACTGCTGTTTCTAGTAGCTCTATAGCGTTGAGGCAACATTGTGCCTTATTAAAAAAATTATCAGCCCTGACGCCATTCCTTATTTGCGTGAGTGCGTACTTCACTGCATCTTCTGCCATTCTGCAAATATCTCTCGACCTACTGCTGAACGCCCTGCATTATTGTGTCTGTTACAACAGAACAACAATGACGGTCTTGTGCTTCAGACCCTGTTCTAGTCCAGAGAGAAGAGCGCTATTACGATAACTAAGGGACAGCGCTGACATATCGTTTAAGTTGGGGTGAATGGAACTAATCCTGTGCCTACCTTCCGACGCCGAAACATGCAAAATGTCCGCGCATGCATTGATCATTATATGTTACAAAGAAACGTCGATTTCGTGTTGGTTTCTTTATGTAATCAGTCGTGTAGATTTACCAAGATGTTCAGTGGAATTTTGTGCTCTGCTGTGGACGGTTCCTGTGTCTGTTCTAACTGCAGACAGAGCTTCTTCATATTATCCGTTAGAAGATGCTTAAGGGCAAAGCCGCTACTATTGTCGAAAGACGGTAATTTATTAAGATTTCCGTCTCCTGGGTTGTTGCGCTGTGTAGTCTGGTTGATGTTAACCAACGTTTCAGAGGTCATACTGCCTCCGTCATCAGGGCGATGAATATGCCAATAGGGTGTGAGGTGCTAGGTTTATAGGCCGGAAAGTGAAAGGTGTAGCCTGCCCCGAGCCAATGGGAGCAGGCATGGGAGTGGACCAATGGTAGCACGTGGGAGAGGGAGAGAAAGGTTGAGTTTGGTTGGATGGATCTGGGCCCTGAAAAGGGCTATGAAATTGGTCTGGTTGGTTCTGGGGGCGAGAGTGGGAGAGAAAGTAGAGAGAGCAAGGTTGAGTTTGGTTGGATGGATCTGGGCTATCGGTCTGTTTGTCTACCTCATCCTTCAAAACTTCAGGTATCCTGTACTGTCTGACATTTATTCCCCTAGTCTTATCAGTTGTGGGTGTCGGGATCGAATGCTGAATGGTCTGAGTACAAGACAGCTTGTCTCCCGGCAGGTAGAAGATGTCATTGTACCTAATGCATAAATTTAGAATTTCCTTCCTTTCCTCCCCATTTAAATGATTCAATCGCAGATGTTGACCCAATAATTCTTACTGACAGTGTACATTATCCTCAGGTTATCCGAGTCGCATTCGTATGGTTCTAACTGTACCTCCGGTGCTTGCATGATGACTCGCTGTAACCGTCCCACTCCTGTTTGCTGTTGGAGTTGCCCGGCTCGGTTCCAGTCTTGTCGATCACAGACGTCTACGATGTAATTCGGGATTTCTGCTCATGTAGGCATGGAACTTTTCTCAGGGAATATTACATGGAGGGGTATAAGCTGAATGCCAGCGAGGAAGGTTTCGGTAATGGTCTTGAGATTAAAGTTCGTAGTTTTGCAAAGCACAATTTATTTCTTTTACGATTAACATTTACTGGCCGAATCGAGCTACAAAACAATTTAGGATGTTGCTTCCTCTGAATTCCAGAAAAGAGTGTCCTCCAAGAAAACTTTCCTGTCCTTTAGTTATAGGACTTCCCCCCTTAACTTTCACAAAAAAATGATGTATTTGGGCAGTAATGATGCCCTAGCTCACGTGGACCATTAAAAAACCCTTTAGCCGGCGGGTGCCCCCCTGAAAGTAGTTTGGGGGTCACACGGTGCCATAATTCTTTCCTTTACAGTCGTTGCTTGTGCAACTTTCTTTTCTTTTTTAAGTGTCAGTGAGCCTTCTGCTAGCCTTGTGTACCAGGGTGGAAAGCACGGCCTGTTTGTTGGACGGGTGGTGATGGGAATTGTAATTGAGGTAAAGGTCGGTATGAGTAGGTTTCCGGTACACCCTGTGGCCTAATGAGCCATCAGGTTTCCGGTGGATATCTATGTCGAGGAATGGGAGATGGCCGTCCTTTTCAGTCTCCATGGTGAACTGGATGCTCTCGTGAATACTGTTGAGGTGATTGAGGAACTCATCGAGCTTGCCAGGGCCGTGGGGCCAGATAACAAACGTGTCGTCCACGTAACGGAACCAGCAAAGGGGCTTGAAGGTCGCCCCGTCCACCGCCATTTCTTCAAAATTCTCCATGTAGAAATTGGCGATGACAGGGGATAGTGGGGAACCCATAGCCACCCCGTCGGTCTGTTCGTAGAACCGGCCGCCGAACTTGCAATATGAGGAACAGCCTCAAGACGTCGCCATCGAAGTGCCGTTCCAGGAGACGTAGGGCATCACCAACGGGTACCATGGTGAAGAGGGACACGACATCGAAACTAACCATGATGTCCCCAGGACCCACGCGGAGCGACTTGATAGTATTGATGAATTCGGTGGAGTTCTTCACGTGACGTGGAGAGTGCCCCACCAATCCCCCGAGTAGTCCCGCGAGATATTGGGCAAGCCGGTAGGTTGGAGCGCCGATGGTGCTTACGATGGGCCTGAGGGGAGCTCCTTCCTTATGGATCTTGGGTAGCCCATACAGTCTAGGGGGCCTCGAACCCTGGGGCCGTAGCTTTTGGATGACCTCCTCTGGGAATGATGACTTCTTGAGAAGGAGGTTGGTCTTCCTTTCAACGGCTTCCGTAGGGTCCTTGGGCAGTAACCTGTACGTCCAGGGCAAAACACTGATTTGAAAACTATGAAAGTTGTAAAATGAACTTTTCTGGTTACAGAGAATTACTTGGCTGCTAAATAATCAGACATGACAGAACTAACCAAAGTCCTTGCTTACTAAACCGGGGAGCATTCTTCTGAAGAAACAACCTAAAATTCAGGAATTACCATTTGTTGTGAATTTAGATATTTCTCACATAAATTACAAATGATTTGACGTACTGTGAAAAAATAAAGGGAATTTGAAGAGAACTCTATAGCCCTGAAATCAGCAAGCCAGTTACTTTTCATGTCTTGTGCCCTGCCCTCTTTATTATGCTGTTCAGCGGGAGTGCTGGTTGCCTATCTCGTGCAGGTGCTGGAGGGCCAGGATGGATGATTTCGGCAGAGAAGAATCTTGTTTCATTCTCCGTAAGCCCCCCTCGCTGCTACAGAAGTTCAATAAAGTTCTTTCCTGCTACGTAGTCTGCAACAATAAAGACGAGATCGCGTTGTTGTGAGGACTCTTATGTTACCAGGGGCCACTGAATGCTGATGTATTGTATGTTTCATTCGGCAACAGTCTAATTACAAATCGAAGCTTTGCAGAAGACTATAAAGTGAAATAGTTTAACGGAAGCGAAGTATTATTCCACAAACGGGGTTCGTATGAGGACCTTACACATTTAGTTACGGTGATGTTTCGTTTGATGTACTCACCCATTACGAGATGTAGGTGTTCATTTGTCTTAAAAGCATAATGGAGCTGCAGGAAGAAAATAGTGCCGCGTGTTTTCTCAAATACGCGACGCTCCGTCCACGCGTGGTCGATGTCCTTTCTCTTCAGTGATGTCCTCTTCATTATCTTTATGGCGTAAAATTTGCCATCGTCACTTCCATCCTTCTTCCTCGCCAGGTAAACTTCGCCAAACCTTGTAACAGAATCTCAGTTATGTTTCATCTTGATATCTGTACAGGTACGGGCTGTCGTGTCAGCAAAGTCTCCTTTCAGATAATTATGATACTCTACCCCTTTTTTTCAATACCAATACTTCGCGATGAGTATAAAATTCATAAATACGTGGTTCGTCTTCTCTTTAACAAGCTCTAAATCACTCTCCGATAGGCCAAGCCCTTGTGCTCAGGATATTACTAGATTTTATTGTGTCCTGCATGGTGACAGAAACAAGGTGAAATACCGTTTAGGTGTGTGAGTTTTCATGACTGCAACTTTTATCGTTAAAGTGCTTACGTGTTGAATCTCCACGCTCTTCTGCAACTTTATTTAGTTTTGCCATGTATGCATCATCCACTCTTGGTTTTGAAGTGCTGTCTGCATAATTTGATTAATTCTAAATTGTTTGAAACCCTGCGTTTCTAAATGTCTCCGCAAATAAATGTTGGCATTTCGTAAATGAGCCACCTTTTAACATTTTTTAGCATTCATGAGTAGAAGCAGAATATGGCCTACACAATTCTTAAGATCCCTAATTCTGATTTCTTTAAAGTAAAAAGAAATTTACATTGTGCATAGAAGATCTACCTCTCGTGTTTATCAATTCCGATGTTATGGTATTTCGATACATTGTTAACCAGAATGTCGTTAACATTAGGAAGAGAAAATAGGCCACATACACGTCTTTCTTGTTATTTCACTGCCGATTAAGTTGCATTGCACTTGATCATGGGCTAGGAAGGACGTACTAAAATGCTGAACTTCTTCTCTGCCTACTTAATAGATGCATTAGAGAAAATGTCTTTAAAAGCATCCGTGATGTTAAACAGTTTCAATGTGGTTCCACGCATTTCGTGCTCGGGAAAATAATTTGCAGATCTTGATCTGTACTCAATCATGAATCATTCATGACGTAATGCAGTGGATTTGAGAGGAAATATCAGGGTTTGTCTGTGGGTAAGGATCTTTGTATGTGAACTCTTGTTGCTGTCACTTAATGATGGTTCTTAACATAAAAACCATTAATATTAGTTGTTCTTGAGAATGCAATGTCAACATCTCTTTCTTGTTCTTATGCTTATGATGGGAAATTCAAATTCTTTATAAACTATTTTTGTTTTTCCGCTGTGGGCGCCAGTATAAGTAAACCTCTTGCGTGTCCAACGTTTACGTGGTGCTGTGCTGCATGTTCGGCATCAACAGGTCACATGATCGCGGAGGAGCTAGCAAATGGAATAATGTAGTCCTCGTTGTGGGAGCAATAACCACCATAGACATGCGGTCCCGTAAATTCATCTGTTCCATATATTTCACTCTCGTGCCGAGGTACAGTAATTCAGAATCTGAAACGTCGTCCGTGTCTACTCTTGCGTCCTCACAAACAACGTTCTTGCCCCTCAGCTGCCTCTCTGCCCTTGTTCTTCACTGACTGACCTGCTTTTTCTTGATACTCAGCCGGATGTCCTTGGTTCAGTAGACCTCGCTGTTCACGCTCACTTTAACTCCGTGTGAGTGCTGCTGATTTTGCTAGCCGCCTCCTGAGGAGTCGCTGTGCTCGGTTGTGGCCTCCGTTGATTTTGAGGTTTATGGGGTTTATTCCGGAACTTAGCTAAGGTGAACATGGGCTTGTTCATCAGGGAATATTGCGTGGAGGAGTATAAGTTGAACGCCAGCGAGGGGGTTCGGATAGTGGCTTCAGGGAAATGTCCCACGTTGCATTGCATAAATGTTTTTCTTTTTGTTCAGAAAGTCACTGTACTGACTGAGCTAGCTCGGTTCCCATCTTTAATCTACAGGCTTAATTAAATTAATTTACACTTGTTTTTTACTCTACAATCCTGCGGATTGTTCGCCACCCCCATTACAGAGTTAGTCTTACGAAGATACCACGGTGGTTTCGCCTTGCCCTCCGTGGCCAGTCTTTGTCCACCAGACTGGAAGAGAAAGGACGCGGATAAACTTCCATGCCTTGAGTGGGACTCGAACCCACCATCGCAGCAGTCAGGCGCACGAGAATCATGCCTCAGACCGTGTGGCATAGAATCGTAATTATCATCGTTTATAAACTAGAAACTAATAAATACATTTAAATGAAAACTACATACCGGTACTTGAATAACATCCAACATCAGGTTCCATGATATCCATTGCCGTTCTAATTAACTATTCACTAAAATATATAATAAAATTTCAGGTCAATACACAAACTTTATTTAGATGTTAAAATTTAAAATTTAAATTTGCGCCATTCATCACTATAACGATTTTATTATATATTTTAATCATAAAACACAAACATGACGCATGTAAACCTTAAACTATTCACTAATTTTTACACTAAACACTGTCCTAACAAAACTAAAGATTAAAACACTTATTTTAAAACTTACTAAATAACTTAAACGCACTATTATTTAATTTTTAATCTGAAATTGACTGTGAAAAATCCTAACGGTTCTCACAGCTTCCAATCAAAAATATGACTGACATATCACAAAGAATATCCGGTCAAAGAAGTTTGAAGCACGCAGAGTGACTCAATTGTTTTAAACGGCTGAAAGAAGAGTAGGCCATGTTTGCTCTTTGGAGTCCCAAAGAATGTTTATTCTCTGACTTCCTGTACGTATTTAACTAGAATTTTTCTAGCTCCTTTCCAAGACGACCTGGAATTATCGTAGGTTAAGTATGCTTTCCAGGTTGTCTCAACCCCGTTCGTATGTCCTTGTTGCCAGCTTCAATGTATTTTTCAACAATCCAATCCGACTTGTGTGATCGGGGATTCTTAGCACCCGTGCCCAATTTAATGGGCACCGGGACTTGGTGCCGTTTTGAATTATCACACTGTTCATCGGGATTTTCTTGCTAGAATACCACTGTGGTTTCACCTTGCCTCTCGTGCTATATACCTACACGAAAAATATCCCATTCATTCCCAGTTATGTTTATTCTATAATTCAATACTCTTGAATGAAAACATAATCTGCTAACACTCTACTGCTGTTTGTAGCAAATCAACCCACTTCATTAAAGAAAATGACACTTGGTCTATGCTGTCTTGCATCTTCAAATAACCCTGTGACAAGTGTATCTGAGTGTGCAACTGAGTTGGACGTCAGGTCTGACGATCTAATACAGAAAAATTTGGAATCTTCTGCCTCTGCAGCAATAGCCTCGGCCAAGAAGGTCTTTCCGGTTCTTGGGGGCTGAAAAAAGATTAAGAGAAAATAGGCCACAGACACGTCTTTCTTGTTATTTCACTGCCGATTAAGTTGTATTGCACTTGATCATGGGCTAGGAAGGACGTACTAAAATGCTGAACTTCTTCTCTGCCTACTTAATAGATGCATTAGAGAAAATGTCTCTAAAAGCATCCGTGATGTTAAACCGTTTCAATGTGGTTCCACGCATTTCGTGCTCGGGAAAATAATTTGCAGATCTTGATCTGTACTCAATCATGAATCATTCATGACGTAATGCAGTGGATTTGAGAGGAAATATCAGGGTTTGTCTGTGGGTAAGGATCTTTGTATGTGAACTCTTGTTGCTGTCACTTAATGATGGTTCTTAACATAAAAACCATTAATATTAGTTGTTCTTGAGAATGCAATGTCAACATCTCTTTCTTGTTCTTATGCTTATGATGGGAAATTCAAATTCTTTATAAACTATTTTTGTTTTTCCGCTGTGGGCGCCAGTATAAGTAAACCTCTTGCGTGTCCAACGTTTACGTGGTGCTGTGCTGCATGTTCGGCATCAACAGGTCACATGATCGCGGAGGAGCTAGCAAATGGAATAATGTAGTCCTCGTTGTGGGAGCAATAACCACCATAGACATGCGGTCCCGTAAATTCATCTGTTCCATATATTTCACTCTCGTGCCGACGTACAGTAATTCAGAATCTGAAACGTCGTCCGTGTCTACTCTTGCGTCCTCACAAACAACGTTCTTGCCCCTCAGCTGCCTCCCTGCCCTTGTTCTTCACTGACTGACCTGCTTTTTCTTGATACTCAGCCGGATGTCCTTGGTTCAGTAGACCTCGCTGTTCACGCTCACTTTAACTCCGTGTGAGTGCTGCTGATTTTGCTAGCCGCCTCCTGAGGAGTCGCTGTGCTCGGTTGTGGCCTCCGTTGATTTTGAGGTTTATGGGGTTTATTCCGGAACTTAGCTAAGGTGAACATGGGCTTGTTCATCAGGGAATATTGCGTGGAGGAGTATAAGTTGAACGCCAGCGAGGGGGTTCGGATAGTGGCTTCAGGGAAATGTCCCACGTTGCATTGCATAAATGTTTTTCTTTTTGTTCAGACAATTACACAGTATATATGTAGTTGTCAGGTACTGAGTTCGAAGGAAAAAAAAGAATTGCATGATTTTGCAAACTAATTGAACACTTGCAAAGAAACGTAACTTAAATCTGCGTGGAAATTACACCAGAAGGCTGAGAAAACCGTCAGACGGAGAAAGCAAACGGTTTACAGAATTTAATCATTTACTTGCTGACCACAATTTCGAAATTGAAAATGTAAATTTACCGACAAGAGCTCACTCGCAGTTAGGCTGGTTTCTTGTTAGGCCTATAAGCTACGAGATGTCTCAAAATTAAGGTGCTGTTATTTTGTTGTTATAATAGACCATGTTTTATATTTATTCATAGTTTATTTGACGACGCATTTTCAGTAGCACAGGAGCATTCAATCCATTGATAAATCCTTGTACGTAAATAATTTTATTGTTTGGAAAAACAAAACTAGCTTCATTTTGCATTCCTGTTGATTTACACGTATTATAACCGTCCTTGGTTAATTGTTTGCCTGCGAACAAACGGTGAAGCCTGCGGATCCATTTGAGGTCTCTGATTTGGTCCTGAGTTGCTTCTTCCATAGGTTCTGGATCCCGAGGGCTACAATCACGGAAGGCTTCCCGATCATATTGTCGATAAGGTTGTCATCTACGTTGATAATCACGTTCGTGGTACCGAACTTGTTGTACGCGTGGCGGACTCCTCATTCGTCCATTATCTAGACCCTGATAAGAACGGTGGTTTCTGTCGTTGAAACGATATCCTGGGTTTGTTGGGGGTTGAAGCGTAGTTTGACGACGACTGATCATAATCCAACGCCTCTACTTCATTGAGAAACGTTACCGCATCTGGTATACTTTT